TAGAGGAGTTGGTCGCACTCCAGCTTGTTGTCGCCTTGAAGATCTCTTCCTCTGTTTACAAGCTGGCTTCACAGAAAATGTGACACAAGGACCAGATGAAATAACAAGCCTCACAACTTGAACATGTGTCAAATGCTTTGTACTGGTTCCATTGACCTGTGGAAGAAACACAAAACAGGTGACAATCAAAACAATTTGCAACTACATGTACAAATGTACAGTCAACTCTCTCTAAGCGGACACCACTGTAAGGCGCACGGACACCTCCCTAAGGCGGACATGGATGGCTGGTCCCGGCCAACACTTGTTTAATAATAATAATACTAACTTTTATAGCGCTTATTCATCGCTGTTCTAAGCGCTTTACAAATTAATTTTGTCTGTAACTAAACTTTCTTTAAGGCAGACACCTCTCCAAGGCGGACCGAGCAGACACTTTAGCAAAATTCAGGTGAAAAAATTAATACCTCTCAAGACAGACACTACATGTAGAAGTGCATTAAATTTGTTTTTACAATCATGCATTGCAGATTATAGGCGGGATATTATTTCAAATGGTGGACTTACATGTACTGTTCACTTTGTATGAATCAAAATGTACTGATCAGCTTTGAAGGGGACTGTAAATAAAATTATGCAATTGCAAAGGCGGACACCTCTCTAAGGTGGACAGCTAGAGCTGGTCCTGAGGGTGTCCACTTTAGAGAGAGATGACAGTAGACCATTAATTTTACAGTCTCTATTTTCATGATGCGAAAAAACCATGAGGGCAGAGGGTGAGGGAGTAAAGTGGGCAAAGGCAATCCCCACCCCTTCATGTTTCATTTCTAGTTTGCTTTCCAGGCTTTTACGGTACAGTGTACATGTAGCCAGAATTTTAAAAGTGGGCATCCTGGAGGCATGTCGCCCCATAAATTTGTTAAAGCTTTGGTGCATTTTTTCATCATTTTCTCCCAGGATTGGGCATCCACAGGACACCCTTGTGGCTAAAAGCTTGTTGCCCACAGTTATTTTTCCCATGTTAAACAATCTGAGAAAAAAATAGAGCTCTAGGCTGGAATGCAATGAACAGATGCTCACCTCAACAATCACATCTCCTGCCTTTACACCAGCCCTCTCTGCAGGGGAGCAGCTGTCAACTGAGATAACATGCACATCACAAGCATAATCAGTGCCGCTGAAAAATAAAAAGCCACAATAAGCCACTGGGCAATAATCTACCCCACCACCTGATCAAGCAGTAAAACCCAAGGTTGGACAATAGACAAGCCATTTGTCCCTTGATTTGTCCCTAAATCTAGAAGTACTTTTCAGGGGCGGATCCAGGAATTTTTGATGGGGGGTCCCAGGATTTTTCCCGAGAATGTGAAGCAGAGGGATAATTTTTGAAAGTAGATGGCAGTACTGAGTTATTACTAAAAGGAGAGGAGGGGAGTGTTTTGAGGCCTCCCCCAGAAAATGTTTGAGATTTCAGGCTCCGAAAAGTGCGTTTTGGTGGATCCTGGAGATGGTTTTGCTACACGCTATGGATAATGTAACGAGAAAGCAAAAAACTCCTCAGGTCTGATAGGAGGTCCGGACCCTCCAACCCTCCCCCTGGATCCACCACTGACTTTATCCTTACATTGAAGATACATGTACATGTACATGATTGTATAAAAATAATGATAATGAAAGAACAAGATGGTAGAACTTATTAATACTGTCTTGATTTATCATCAAATTCTCAGAACTTAGAAATGCATGATAATAAATTGCTATAATTTTTGAACTACATTTGTACATGTAGGGAGTCTAGGGAGTGAAGGGGTAGAAACAGGGTTCCCATCCAGAGGGAGTCTAGGGAGTGAAGGGGTAGAAACAGGGTTCCCATCCAGCTACTGTAATTTATGATGTCACAAGTTTATGGCATCACATTAATTTTTATTTGCAGCACCTTGCTTGCTCTTCATGATCATTAAAGTTGGCACACACGAGGGGACTTGTCCCCAGGACAACAAAATGTTGTCCCCGCGACTTGCCCCACAAATTCAAACTGTTTTTGAATTGAAGGAATTAGACAAGTCCTTGGGACGTGTCCCCTCAGTGAAATTATGCCTGTTCCCTCATGTGTACTGTTCATGGGACAAGTCTCTGCGACCAAATAAGAAAATAAACCAATCAAAGACCAAATTGGACTGTCTCGAAAACAAGTCCCCTCATAAGTACATGTATTAAAGGGACTTGTCCCAGGAATAGTCCCAGGGACAGGTCCCCTCCTGAATACCGACCTTCATAGAGAGAACAGCCAGGAACTTAGTCCTTTATGTACAGTGTACATGTACATGTAGCAGTGTCGCACAGTCTTAGCCAAGCATTACTAATCAAACAGTTCAGTAATCAAACTCAATTAAGCCCAATCAAATGATTAGGTTCAATTGGTTCAATTACTGTACCTGCCAACTCTCACGCCTGCCGGTCGAAAACTTTGATCTTATGCCAGCTCACTCTTACGGACCAATTTTTCACGCCTGGCTGAAAAATTTGAGCTACTGTACATGTATTACAGCCTTAACTAACACACTTTTGAAAAATACATGTACATGTATATAAACTTGAGCCAACGCGAGGAAACAATCATAGTCCTATGAATAACGCTATAAGTTGTGTTTGAATACTCCAAACCGTGTCCGAACGCATTGTGAATCTGCATACAAACTCTTTGTTAACGTTTGGAAATCTTCGAATCACCTTTGGAAATCTTTGAATGTCTTCGGCAACATTCAGAAATCGTCAGAACATCTTCGGAAATCCAGGTACTCTGAAGACAAAATCTCACGCATTTGACTCTGGAAAAGTTGGCAGGTATAAATGATTGCATGACAAACCAAAATAATGCTTGTACAGTATGGTTTGACTGTAGGTACAATGTACATGTAGCCTGAAATATCAGTCGTCTCCTCGTCTCTCGACCCAAACCCTGGGCGAGGGATGACAAGACGACTGACATTTCAGGCTAGCTATTTGGCTGTGGTGGGATACACGGATCAAGCAGTCCGAGTCGGGGTCATACATTGTACACTTTACATGTACTCTCAGTGCCTCTCTCTACCCAGCAGTATAATTGGGTACCGGCATGGACTACATGTAACATCCCATCTAGGGGTGGGGAGTAGTCAGCTTCCTCCTACAGAAACAGGGATACATGTAAGCTCCGGCAGTGTGAGCCAGTTTAGCCCAAGTGCGGCTTTTTAGGGGGGAAACAGAATGACAGGATACATACCCCCGGATGCAACACCCTAACCAGCCATCTTCATCTGGATACACAGAAACGGTTGACAATCTTTTCTCTTCTACTTTACCATCTGGTTTGTTTCCTTTTGTTTCTGCGACATCTTGAATCTTGCAGTCATCTTGGAGACAACGTCCTGCAGAAACAACTCTCATGCGAAGTGTCTCTGATCCTTTGATTATTCCAATCACTTGAGCAATGTCTACACCACCTCTCCCACAACGCTTGTCATTAACTCGAATAATTCTATCCCCAGCTTTCAATCCTTGCCTGTCAGCGAGCGAATCTTTTGCTACTTGGGCGACGGTTATGGAAGGTTGATGAAACGTTCCACCGCGTATCCTCAAACCAAATCCTTGATCCAAAGCCTTCCTTTCAATAACAAGTTCAACGAACTTGTGTTCGAATTCTCCTTGAGAGCTGAGGGTACCACCAGGTGCGCCAATTTTTCGAGCTTGATTTGCCGATTCTTTTGAACAGTCAGAAGCCAATTTATTGGTTCCTTGTGACGCTATCTTCTCCGTTCTAGAGCTCAGTGGTTTCTCTCTGTCTTGCCTAGTCTTCTTAGCAGGGCTACCTTGGAAATTGGGCGCACTGTTTTCTCTTTCCAATATTCCCTTCGCCTCAATTTTCCTCTTTTTTTCCAAATCCCCTCGTTCGCGCTCAGCTTCTGTTTCCAGTAGCTCGTTACAATGGCGGGTGAAGTTATTTCTTTGATTCTTTGGAAGACATCGCCTAACCTCTGTCAGTATGTCAACCTTCGAACGTGAATTCACGATCTTGAGAAGATCCGAACACAAACCTTCCACCGATCGAGTCTTCGAGAACGTCTTTATCGCGATTTTGAGTCGCTCGCAATCGTCCTTCTTTAAAAGTTCTTTTGCTCGCTCCCACAATACTCCACTACTGCTAAAACCGTTTTGCATGGCCATCAAGTTGCGTTATCTCAGTCTGGAAAAAAATTATGCCATGAAACAAACAGTACACAAGAACTCAAACGGCTTGAACTTTCAAAATGTCCGCCAGAAAATATTATTATTTCGTACCCAGGCTCCGACCTCTGGCTTGTAACGCAATCTTTCTTCCATAGCGCGTCGAGTAATATCAGGAGCCCAGTTTTTCCTTGAAGTTACAACTTACAAGAAATGTCTGGAGATAATTTTATTTACGGGATAATAATTCAATAAACAATAAAGTAAATTAGACAATTTTGAGGCATCTAAAGGAATGATCAGTGATGCCCTGAGAAGGGGAAAATTTCCCCCCAAGGGGGTACTATATACTCAGGTAGTATTAGCGACTCTGCATCACTAATAAACCCTGGTAGCCCCCTCTGGGGTTTTTTCCTCATATCTTTTGATATGGTTGAACCTCCACTACGGCCACCTGCTCTACATATGCCAGGATTTTTCGTCCCGAACATGCACTGATCTATGCACTTTTAAAACTCTTATTGGAATCTGCCCACAACGGCCAGTTAATTCTGACCCAGTTAATTCTGTCAGGTAGGCAGGTGAAGTCTTCACGAGACTAATCAGTAGCCCACAACTGCCGGAGCTTATTCCAGTTTCTGTAGCATGAAGCGACTAGGAGTATTGCTACTCCCCTGGATGGGATGCTAGTCCATCGCAGGTTACCCCCCAGCATTTTGTCGCCGGTACCCATTTATACTCCTGGGTGGAGAGAGGCACTGTGAGAGTAAGTATCTTGCCCAAGAACACAACACAGTCACCCCAGCCAGGGTTCAAACCCAGACCACTCGATCCAGAGTCCAGGGCACTAACCATTAGGCCACCGCTTCTGTCAACTGTATATAATTTCTGGGAAACTGAACCATATATTCCCCTCCTTGATTATACATTCATACAGACAGCAAAGTTTTAATTATCACCGCACATATATTTGACTTGTTGTTGCTTTATTTTTGTTCACATCAATAATGTGCATCTGTTGCATGATCTGTCATGTAACTTGACACCACTTTGACAAAAATGTAATATTTTATTCCACTTTAGACAAGTTACATCAAAATAACACTCAACAAGCATATTTTTATTAATACTATCTATCTTTCTTACAGGGGGGGAGTACATAGCCTATACAGGGATGTGCTGCCCAATAGCTAGGGTACGTATGGTTTTTCTATCTAGATTTATAAACAGGGTATGGGTTTTTGACTCGACGCTGTCATAGACAGGGTATATGGGTACCCTTCAGTTACACTGTACCAGGAAATATTTTTCCTGACACTTTCTGCGGGCTGGGCTGCCATCCGACTTCCGACTCCGACCCTGCATCCAACAAAAACGATATCAATGTTGACAACAGATCACTGTCAGGAATCAAATACTTAAAATCATGCCATAAACAGGGTTGGTAAACAAGGTCAGAGTTTGACAGCCTGGGCGGCACACCCCTACTCAAACTTAGGTTACCCCCCCCCCCCCACGCCCGACCCACCAGGATTTTCTTATAACAAAATTGGCAATTGCAAAATTGCATACTTATCATGCATGACACAATATTAATTTTATGTTATGACAGTATGCACGTTTTAATTTATTTGTATCTGATACAAAATTGAACTGTAATAATTTTGGTCAACTATGCTAAATATATTAATAAACTGACTGTGCTTTTGTATGAAAATAATATTCAGCTATAAATTAAAATCAAATTATGCATCTTAGAAATCCATTTAACTGTAACATAATTTGTAACTATTACAAAACGTCTAAAAATCAAAGTACAGAACTATTAAAAGACTCATTACACTCAACTCTCTCTAAATGGACACATCTATAAGACGTACACCTCTACAAGATGGACACCTGGTGTTGGTCCCTGTGCACAGTTTTTCAGTCATTTTACTGTATATAAACTCTCTATAAGCAGGACACCTCTCTAAGACGGACAGTTGGTGCCGGTCCCGATGGTGTCCATCGTAGAGAGAGTTGTCTGTATTTTAAACTGGCTTGCATTCCACCCTCCCCCCCCCCCCCCCCCCTTATGGACTATGTGCAACAGAGTACGAGGTGGAGGTGAGCAGTCTCCCCCCCCCCCCCCCCCATATACATGGAAGAGAACTTGTCTTGCCCCAATCCCTTCTTGTGCCAAACCTCCCACTATGCTCCTTTCGTGATTTTGATAGAGAAACAGACTGCAAGAAGTCTACTACTACTCCGCCGCTCACTTTCGCCGCTTCAGAATTTTTACTTCGCGCGCCAACAAGACCACCAGCTACGCAGGCTATGGTGTGGCTCTATTTTAGTTTCACCCCTAGGAGGTACCAATTATTTTTCTGACAAGTAATTCCTGTCATTTTTCTTTTGCTGGCTTAATACCCTGCAAGGTTCTAGGATAACTCTAGATTTAACCACCCTAAGCAGTACCAAGCCACAAATTTTAACCCCTATAGGGTACAATGATCACCTATCGTCACCCCTGGGATGCAAGTTATAAGTAAAAAGGTAACCTAGTGGCCCCCAACTGCCGGAGCTTACAGTCCTGTTTCCATAACATGAAGTGACTAGGAGTATTGCTACTCCCTCTGGATGGCATGCTAGTCCATCGCAGGTTAGTGAGTTACCCACCAGAAATTTTGTCAGGTTTGCCCTAACAGTTTATCGGTACCCATTGATACTCCTGGGTGGCTATAGAGAGAGGCACTGTGAGAGTAAAGTGTCTTGCCCAAAAACACCACAGAATGACCTGGGCAGGGCAGGGCTTGAACCCAGACCACTCGATCTATTATGCAGCGCGCCTCCCATGGACTTTGGTGGTGCGTAGTTAAGCCCTCTGCATGCCATGAAGACGACTACCTATAGCTAATGGATTTTGCACTAACTTTTTTATAAGTCAGTCCTTTTAGGGCTTTTACGTTCATAAACTTCACTAACCCCAATATTTGAGGTCAGATAATTAAGATCTAGGCAAGGATATTCCTAGTTGTATGAATAAACGTTATTGGTTTCTAAAAAAACTGTGATGCATCAGCAAGCGAGTGAAATTATATATTATAAACACTGTACCCAGTTTGAAAAGCTGACATTTTGATTGTTAGCCATTCATCTGAGCAAGTCCTATACGACCAATACGATGAAGGGCTTTAACATTCAAAATGTCAAATTTTCACATTTTCCACACCGGTGATTTATTTATCTTCCAGTTGATATAATTGAAACATTTCTTTACAGTGCGACTACTCAAAGCAGGCCAGTTGGCAGAAAAGTATTAAACCAATCAAAAAGTTAATCGAGAACAATGGATGGAGACCTTTTCGTAAACTGACGCAATAGCGTTGAAGCATACAGACAATAGTTCTACAACAAAATTTGACACAAACAAAGTGCGGATTAACTTTTGGATTGGTTAGTTTTCTTTCTTCCAACTGGCCCGCTTCGAGAAGTCGCACTGTAATTTATAAGCTAGCTTCTGTTATAATATATTCAATATTATTATTCAACAAATGGTAACACTGTCCAAATATGGTCATGATGCACTCAATATCAGACTGTCGACAGTACTCAACACATATCCTGCGATATATGTAATTTCGTATGCCTGCGGTAAAAAATGTTCAAGTCAGTTCTTGAAATAAAAGTGGAAGAGTATTTTTTCAGTTGTGTTATCAATTTTGTTGAATAATAAAACAATTATCCTGCTCGATCTTGCGGAATATCGCCTGATTTTAGCCAACTCACCCTACGGCCTCGTCGGCTAAGTATCAGGCGATATTCCACACGATTTTGCAGGATTATTGTTAATTAAGTGTCAGTATGCAAATGCTGATGTTACTACATTTCATCCCAGTGGTCCAATTAAGACTATTCCACAACATTTGGAAGTGTTTCTTTTTCTTGGAAAAAGCGGGGGCTGATCTCCAGTTACCGGTAACATAAACACTGAAAATAAAAGAATATAAAATAATGAGAAAGCTGCTTATTATAAAAGGATGGTACAAAAGTTGTTTGTAGCTTTTTCCTCAGTTACCGCATGACTTAGTGGCCACGCGCCATATGTAACCATAAGTCTTTGCGAACTAGTGCGTGGCGCGCTTTTAGATCGGCCATGTTTTAATTGTTGAGGAACATGCTGTTTATGATGACCTATGATCCACACTAGTTTTATTTCCTTTAGTTCTTGTTAGCCTTTGATAGTGTTTTGAGCGATATTAATTTCCGAATTGTTGTTTGCAGCGAATTATATGAATACACAGGTCGAAGTCCAATCGAAGTTGTAATAATATCGACGTGTGTGTGGGGGGGGGGGGGGGGGGGGGGGACAGGGGGGGACAAGGGGGCAAAAAACCTGAAGTAAAGGGGTAGGAAGTCTACGGGACGTGAGAGAAGAGAGGATGGGATTAGCGGGATTTCCAAGGTGGTAGGAACCGGGCGAAATAGGTAAACATTTTGCAATATTGTGTAATATTTTGCAATAGAAAAAGCACAAAGAGGCGGGAACCACAATAATTAACAGAAGGGGCGGGAACTGGGCTGAGTACAAGGTATGGGAAGCTGGAACGTCAGACCCTGTCCCCCCCTCCCCCACCATTATGAGGTAAAGGGTTTAAATACATCCACATCAAACAATTTAACATGGTTTACTCACCCGTTTCTTTTAGTCCTTTTCCAAAGTTGTTCACAACAACCTCAGAGTGATCAACACCAGTATCCTCACAATAAAGGCCAAAGAAGCTGAAAAAAAATTAGAAATTAACACATTGACACCCATACCGGCCATAACCGGCCAAGAGGAGACCACGAACTTGTACCACTTGTGACGTCATCACTTTTCACGCCAGAGGATGTCTTTGATATTCCACTAATAGAGAAGGAAAATGTCTAACAAAGCATGCCTAAACGAGTACGGAACGTTAAATTGGACCAGAGATACACAAAAAACAACTTGGAATTTTTCCTCCAAAATGACCAAAAAACGCAACCTTCAATACCATCGACACTCTTTGTTAAAAGAGTTCCCTTTCCCCAATGTTTAGGTTGAAACTTTTTCAACATGAACAAAGACGACTAAAAGGCCAACAAAATCAGAAAATAAAATGAGAAAAAGGAGAGCAAGAACGGCTGCATATGAAGAGTGACAGACGTGATCGCCGTAACGCTTTTAGGGCCTCGTTAGAATTTCATGGTTTGACTAATCCATTAATTGAACAAGTTATCCTGGTATCTTTTTTAGGGTATTAAGCCGA